CACAGGGTCATTGTGGTGTTACAGGCGAATGATGAGGATACCGTGGATAGAGAAGGTTAGAAATGAAGAAGTATTAGAAAGAGTTAGAGAACAGAGAACTCTATGGAAGTCAATAAGAAATAGGCGAGATAAATTGATAGGACACCTTCCACCTTCTCAGGCATGAAGCCCTAGTCTGAGGTAGATCTAGATTAGATTCCTGTTCGCAAGTAGTTAAGGATATGGGTTGTTCTAGTTTTAGGGAAATGCGAAGATTAGGTCAGGATCGGAAGGAGTGGAAGTGCGTGTCCAACCAGTCTTAGGACTGACGACCTTATGATAATGATGAGGCAATAAATCGATATTAATCACAGGTAAATTGTCTACGTTATCTTGTAATAAAATCGAATTTTATGAAATGTGTCAGTCAATAATTCATTTGCTTGAGTTTTGAATGCAATTTTCCTTCTGAATGCAAATGAATAGGAATAAAAAAACGAAAAGCGTGACTACCCTTTTTACCTGATGTGTACACGGCACCGTGATTGCTTCAAAACCGTCCCTATGTTGCCATTACCTTATGAATAAAATACAAGTGCGGAATCGATGATGCATGCACGTGCAACCAGTTATTTTGACTTGTACTACTTATTAATGGGTACAATAAAAATATCAATTAATGCCATTAGTGTCATATTTCTTATTATAAAAAGTTTAAGAAAATTGTTGTAATCTATAGTTACTGTCACTAGTAGAATTTCAATTTTTAGTAATTATTACAGGTAGTATAGAACTGACATGGCCTTTTCTTATTCAATTCGAAAACATTGACTCAGCTGTTATTCTATTGATTATAACAATGTACCCCGCTATACAACCAGGGGTGGAAAATTAACTTCCTGTGTACTATAAACAGTGACCGCTAATGTTTTTAGGAGGTAGAAATGTAGAAATTAATGAACTGGAGGAGTTTTGCCACTGCACAACCTCCGGCCAAAGTGCATGTCATTCTAAATTACCTCTACCATAGTTTTTAGTAATATTAAAAATTAGGGACTTATGGTGCAATTAGACTTATCAGAAAAAAAAGATCGTAGCAAGGGTGTGTTACTTTGGATTTTACAGTAGAATTTAGGTAATTTAGGGGTTTAGTTTGAGGCAAATGTTCATAACATTTTTTAGATTTTAAAGGTGAGGTTTCCTAAGCAGTTATGCCTTGAATGGTCATATTAACTATATTAGATGATCTAAAAATAATCGAAGGAATAAACATAAACTTACCTATTATAATCACGTTTTCCATGGGCCTTGTTGGGGTAGTGCTTGCTGATGTAGTGGTCGGCAATGGCAGGGCTAACAAAAAGAAATTAATATTCTTGTAAATAAGTCATTTATAGCTCTATTGGGGCATATACACACGGTAAATTTTAATACTGCCGTCTGCTTCTCCTAAAGAATTTTTGGCTACGCATTTGTAGATTCCAAAGTCTGAAGGCGAAACGTTAGATATATGCAACTTCATACGCTTTTTGAAGCTGTGTTCTTCTAAATCAACTTTGTATTTTCCATCTGGAAATATATAAAATAATAAATTTGAAACGACAATTAAATTTTCTTTATTTAAGTATTACAATTTCTAGGTTAAAAATTCGCTAATATATGTTACTGGAAGTGGTAAATAAGATTATTTAGGTAGGTGTTTATTGGTACCGCATAAAAATCATGAAGATTGATTATTGTTTTTAATACTTAATAAGTAGAAAGTTCAGATATGTACGGATCTGATATTTGTGGCAAAAAATACGAGTTAGAACGATAGGGGGTCGTAAAATAGGTTTCTATAGATACTAAGGGGATTGCAGCATGAGAAATGTTGAAGAATACTAATGTAGGGGTTCCTTTTTAACAACACTAATGTTAGATTTATAATTCCCTACTTTCAAAAGAGTGCAATAAGTTTTTTGTTTCCTTTTCNCGTGTTATAGGAAAATTCGTATAAATATTCGTCTATATAAATAAAAATCAATGGCTAAATGTGTTTCTAAGCGGAACATTCGAGAACGACTGGACCAATTTCCATAATGTTTTTTCTTAAATATTCCTTGAAGTCCGAGGAAAGTTCTTAAAAGAAAAATTGGAAAAAATTCCCAGAAAACCTAAAAATCTCACTTTTATTTTTCCAACTTTTGACAGAACGACAGTCAGGGCAGCTAATCTTTTCATATAAATAGTAAAGAAATATAAATCAAATAAATGCAATTTAAAGATTTTGAGGTCGGTTTAGCGTAGTATTTATTAAATACGGTATAAAGGGAAAAAGTTCCACCAAGAAATATGTAATTTCTATATTTGCTATAAAGTTTACTTTATCTGTATGTCTCCTTAACACTCTAACACGATCACAGTTGACACGTTAGCAACAAAAAAACAAAAAAGAAATCATCTCTGCAGTACACAAAAACCTCCCTTAGATTAATATAATTTGACACAAAGTATAGGTACCTGCCTATTACTTATAGATAAATTCATACCGAAATAAGTCGAAGTTTTCCTCTTTGATTGACATTTACCATTGGGTTTATTTACTGTTTTATTGAACGTTATTTATAAGTGTCAAGCAAACTTGTCTTTTCTTAGGCCTTTGTTCAGCCGATTGTCACTTTCACCATGATGCCTGAGGTGTCCTACCAACCTATCTCGTCTATTTTTTATTGACTTCCATACAGTCCTCTGTTCTCTTATTCTTTCTAAACTTCTCTATCCACGGTATTCTTATCATTCGTCTACAATACCACATTTCGAACGCTTCTAACCTTTTCTTTTCCGCCGCGCCCACTGTCTATGTTTCGGACCCGTACAGCGCCGCGCTCCAAACATACACATTTAACAATCTTTTTTTGAATTTCTAAATTAATCGTTTGCGAGCATAGAAGTGACTTCTTTTTTTGTGTTATCCTCTGCTTTATATCCCTACTATTCGTTTTGTCCTGACTTATCTGACTTCCTAGATATCTAAAATCAGCCACTTCTTCTAATTTTTCGTCTGCTATATTTAAGTAATTTACTGCGACTTTTTTTATGTTATTGATTTAAGAATGTAGAAATAACTTATATTACTACTATTACAGGAAACGTAAAATTTAATCTGTTAGCGTTACCAACAACTCACTATTAAAGATTGAATAAACCTTTCAACTAATATGCAAACGAATTCATATCAAGCAAAGACTGCTTTCTTTTAATAAGAGTTGACCCGGCAGATGCTGCTCCATGCGGACAATTATTACACTAAAAAGAAAATAAAAAGCTTAGCGAACGTCGAATATTTGTTAAAATATGTTAACCATAGGTGAACTTTTAATGATAGATGTAATTGATCATCCTACTTATTATAGTGCCGTTCTATTAGTTTTTATGCGTTTATTGCTAACTCCTAGCAACGATGTTATTTTTAACGATTATTTTTGTTAATAGTGTAAGTAAGGTTATTATTATTTGTATGAAAATTTTAGAACTTTTTCCAAGATGATAAGAAACAAATAAATGAAATATGAGACTCACCCCAATTACAACTAACACAATTTTACTGAGTGGACACGTGTTTCGCCCACTTCAAACGTGGGTATTATCAATGCGAGACTGGTGTTCCCATTTCTATTTTGAATATAATAAATGGGAACGATTTCAAATTAGTTATTTTTCATCTTCCAACAACTTTTGCACTGATCCTTCACAGATATTTTAAACCCTGTTGTCCGTTTAGCAGATGGAAAAGAAATTAATTGTTAATACCAAGTAAAATACGGAAAGATTAGCATTTTTTTTGTATTTTTACAGACGCCTCTGTCACACTGTTCTTTTTACGCTGCAGTGATAAAGCAGCGTCCGCTCTTTTGTATTTCGAAACGGTTCTAACGTGATTCCATGTTGGAATGTAAAGAAAACAATGCCTTTTAACTAGAATCTGCTGCGCGCCGAGTGGCTACGCTAAAGATTAAATGTTAAGGATTCATGATGAATGACATTTGTCATCCTAGACTTTGTTCCAAGACGAAAAAGAGGACGGTAAGAGTTATTTCCGGTTTTTGTAGTTTAATCAAAGAGCCTTTTGTACCTACCATCGAATCCTCAGGGCTCTCATTAACGATGCTACCCTCTTTCCTGTTCTCTTACAACTTATAAATTACCTTTCGCTAGATTATAACCAAGTAAGAACTAAATTCTTTTCATACGACTCTGATTACTTTTTAATTGGAAGTCTGAAATATTAGAACAGGCAAAAGAAATAAAAAAGCTCAATTTTATTTGTCGACTCGTACGAAAAACGTCTGCTGATTCGGACCAGGAGCGCACGTAGAATTTAAGTTTGTATACTACTCTGTATTTCAGCAAACGCAGCATTTTAAACAGAATTCCGGAATATACCAATGAGTTATTAATTTGTTAGACTGTAAATTCGATGCACAAAAAGAGAAATTTAAACATAACCTCCAATTGGAACGAACGCATTAAAACAGTTGAATAGCTCCAGTACCTACACCACATTGTAAAGGACAGATTTAACATAAACATCGATTTACTACAGTGGATAATATATTAGCTATTTACTCAATTTATTATATAAAATAACTCCAATTGTTCGAAAATTATTTATTATTTATTCGCAACATCGCCATAGATCTCTTCGTTTCATTTGTTGACAGTTGAATCGGACGGTGATATATCCACAAAGAGAAATGACCTATATTTTACGCGAAATATCATTAAATGGATTACACTTCTGTTTATTGTCAGTTCTGCTTATTTACAAGCTTCGATTTTCTATTCCAATATCGGAAATAATATCCCACGATAGTTTGCTTTTGTTTTATTGGATAATTTGTGGAAAAGTTTACCAAAGCAAATTAATAATGAATTTAGCAAATAAACACAAAACAACGCAGTCTTTGCTTATTGATATAAAATAGTTGAAGTTAATAAATGTAAATAAACATTTCTAACTTCTTGTTTAGAACTGCAGGGGAGTGAAACACTCAATTTCCCATTAACTTCTGGTCTAATTATCGAGATGTTGCTGTGTTGACGCAAATTTATTGGTTATAGAGGCATACAAAAGGGAAAATGTTTTGTGTGCATAACACGAAGGAAAAAATACGGCAAACTTTGCATAAAAATCCCTATTTTCGCCGCAGGTCATGCTTGAAGTCGGCAATAAAATGACCGCAATGGCGGCTGCATATTTTGGGGAACTTCCCTCAGGTGTCTATTAGCTCGCTATAACGAGGACGCCATAAAATTTAACAAGCCCAAGTTAGTGTAATAACGAAGATGTTAATATTCCGAGTTCTGCATTTCGCATCATTTTCTGGGAAATTTGAGGCTATGTAAATGCATAGAGGCAACCGCTCCTGTTCCTGGGTGAGACTTTAAACCTGTTTAGTCGGGATCGAACGGAAATTTTCTACCATCGCTTCCCCAATGTTTATGAGACACTATGAATGTGCTTATAATAACGTTGTTTTGAATGCGATTTTTATCGTTTGTGATTCAATTTATAAAAGCTATTCAATACTGTGCAATATTGACTTTGTTTCGGTAGTAGGTAACCAATATCAAATTCATACTGAATTTGGTAGTACCTACTAAAACTTCTATTGGCTTTTTAAAACAAACTCTAATTGAGAATAAGAGAAATTCCCAATCTACAAATTGCTAGAAATATGAGTCTACGTACTTAATATCTTGATTGTAGCACATACAAGAATTTAAAGCAAATGAATATGAAATTGATTATCATGAACATAAGACTTTTTCATTGGGAAGTTAGGAATCGTTAAATGAATAATTATCGATTTAAAGTCATATATTTATATATACAAATAGATAAAAGAATGGAATATCTATGCATTCAAGTTTCGCAGTAGAATTTTACCTACCGTCTGTAATTTTCTTCTGAATTCTAATGATAAGGAACGTTTCATTGAATCTTCTCAATAGATTTCGTTTCAAAGGAACATTGAAGGATTTATCTACTGTGGATTATGGTCCTTTTTGTACCCGGATTATTAAAAATAGGGGAGTATCTCCGCTGTCGGCGCTGTTTGCTGATTCAGTTGTCGTGCTGGCTAGTCGACGGTGTTTGTTGAATAGACTAAAGATGCTGCCTTAGTTGATAAATTTTTTACCGGCGCTGGCTATATTATGCTCGTCAATCCCATAGGTATACTTTGAGGCACTTAAGTAAGAAAGTCTTTTTTATTCGTTACAGAAGTAAAACAAAAATACTGATATGCAAGGGAAGAAAAAGTCGGGAAAGAGTGAATATAGAGATAGGAGAAGAACAGTTAGAAGAAGTGGCTGCTTTAAGGTATCTAGAAAGTCAGATAAGTCAGGACGGAAGGAGTAGTAGGGATATAAGGCAGAGGATAGCGCAGGTCGAGTCGCCTTCAATAAAAAGAAGTCACTTCTATGCTCGCGAATGGTTAATTTAGAAATTCGGAAAAGATTGTTAAAGATGTACGTTTGGATCACGGCGCTGTACGGGTGCGAAACATGGACGGTGGGCGCGGCGGAAAAGAAAAGGTTAGAAGTGTTCGAAAAGTGGTGTTACAAGCGAATGATGAGGATACCGTGGATAGAGAAGGTTAGAAATGAAGAGGTATTAGAAAGATTAGGAAAACAGGGGACTCTATGGAAGTCAATAAAAAATAGGCGAGATAGGTTGATAGGACACATTCTCAGGCATGAAAGTCTAGTCAGAGACATATTAGAGGCAGAAACAGGAGTTAAAAGGAGGAGAGGTAGACCTAGATTAGATTACTGTTCATAAATAGTTAAGAATGTGGGCTGTTCTATTTTATATATGGAAATGCGAAGATTAGCTCAAGTGGAGGTACTTGTACAACCAGTCTTAGGACTGACGATCTTATGATAATGACAAAAGCTGCTTTTATGTAATTTCGAAGTCCCTGCAAACCCTTCATAAGACGAATATTCTTCATCGACTATCACTTTTCAACTAATTTATCAAGAAGTATGTCTAAACGCCGGCAGCGGACTTTTATAAGTATATTCTAAATATAAATAGTAAGTTCACTGATTCATTCCTTTGATTTGCCGTAAACTTTTCCCCCTGTTGACACTTCATCAGAGCGTCCCCTCACCAGGCTGTGCAGAGTGTCATCGTAAAGCCACAGCAAAAATATATTCTGTATCTCTACTACTCTACATTACTGAAGGTAAACCAATCTCGTATAAATCGTCCAAGCATACATAAAGTAAGTAGGCTTATGATCGCCTGGAAAAGACGCCGCCATCTTGGCTCAGATCAAAAGAGAGACCCTACTATATAGAGTATCTTTATACTGAGGCAGCGGAATCTCTACTCTCATCACATTAAAAGCAATAAAAGTATTGATTATAAGAAAGTATTGTTTATTTCACATTAATAGCTAAAATACAGTGCATTGCAGGATTCATTTGATATATAAAAAAATGGGTGTGTGCACTTATGTACACGCGGTAGAAGTTATACTTCCACTGACGTTTTTATTTGGCCGGTGTACACATAATAGTAATAATAATTATGTACTTATTTAAGCATCGTTTTCGATTACAGCTGTCATTGAGAGTTGTCCAGTGCGCGCGCAACTTCCGTTGCGTACTAAAATGTTACATTCAACTCGCCAAAAGAAGTATAACTTCGGGAAATGAGCTAAAGGTTATTCAACCGTTTGTAACATATATCAGTAATAAACAAGCCAACGTCGAGAGTTCTAGCAAACTTTTACCAACCGATGACGATAAAGCCCAAGTGTCATACGATTTATAGGAATGAACTTCATTGGCCGTACTAATTACTCCAATTTCTGTAATGTGCGGGACGCATTTTAAAAAGTCGTTTAATTTTATTCGTAACTACTTACCCGCCTCTACCACGTTCTCGAAACTATTGTTAATATCCGGCTGGTACTTTGTGATCGCGGGGGAGGCAAGTTTTTCTGAAAAAAAAAAGACAGAAAACGATTTTGTGACACTCGAGAGATCGCTTTAACAAATTCATCAAAACAAATACTATTTTTCTGGTGCTTGATAATTCTTATTTTCAATGGAATATTTAAGTAGAAGTTCCATACATACATTCAAGATAAAATAAAAAAAATTACTATTGCTTATAATAATGACAATCGAATAATAATAATGCACTTAAGCAATAAATTGCAGAGGATGTAGCAGGATTAGCATCTAGCAAGGAGTTAGAGATAGCTTTAAATAAAATTGAAACGGTATTGACAAAACAGTATTGTATGAAAATAAATAAAAGTGAAACTAAAATACTACCATGTAAGGAAAGAGAAAGTAGGGAAAGAGCGAATATAAAGATAGCAGACGAGATTAGAAGAAGTGACTCATTTTAGATATCTAGGAAGTCAGAACGGAAGAAGTACTAGGGATATAAAGCAGAGGGCAGCACAGGGTCATTGTGGTGTTACAGGCGAATGATGAGGATACCGTGGATAGAGAAGGTTAGAAATGAAGAAGTATTAGAAAGGATTGGAGAACAGAGGACTCCATGGAAGTCAATAAGAAATAGACGGGATAGGTTGGTAGGACACCTTCTCAGGCATGAAGGTCTAGACAGAGGTATATAAGAAACATAAACGGAAGTAATGAAGGGTAGAAAACTAGATTAGATTGCTGTTTGCAAATAGTTAAGGATATGGAGGACTGGAGTCCAACCAGTCTTAGGACTGACGACCTTATGATAATGATGAGGCAATAAATCGATATTAATTACAGGTAAATTGTCTACGTTATCTTGTAATAAAATCGAATTTTATGAAATGTGTCAGTCAATAATTCATTTGCTTGAGGTTTGAATGCAATTTTCCTTCTGAATGCAAATGAATAGGAATAAAAAAACGAAAAGCGTGACTACCCTTTTTACCTGATGCGTACACGGCACCGTGATTGCTTCAAAACCGTCCCTATGTTGCCATTACCTTATGAATAAAATACAAGTGCGGAATCGATGATGCATGCACGTGCAACCAGTTATTTTGACTTGTACTACTTCTTAATGGGTACAATAAAAATGTCAATTAATGCCATTAGTGTCATATTTCTTATTATAAAAAGTTTAAGAAAATTGTTGTAATCTATAGTTACTGTCACTAGTAGAATTTCAATTTTTAGTAATTATTACAGGTAGTATAGAACTGACATGGCCTTTTCTTATTCAATTCGAAAACATTGACTCAGCTGTTATTCTATTGATTATAACAATGTACCCCGCTATACAACCAGGGGTGGAAAATTAACTTCCTGTGTACTATAAACAGTGACCGCTAATGTTTTTAGGAGGTAGAAATGTAGAAATTAATGAACTGGAGGAGTTTTGCCACTGCACAACCTCCGGCCAAAGTGCATGTCATTCTAAATTACCTCTACCATAGTTTTTAGTAATATTAAAAATTAGGGACTTATGGTGCAATTAGACTTATCAGAAAAAAAAGATCGTAGCAAGGGTGTGTTACTTTGGATTTTACAGTAGAATTTAGGTAATTTAGGGGTTTAGTTTGAGGCAAATGTTCATAACATTTTTTAGATTTTAAAGGTGAGGTTTCCTAAGCAGTTATGCCTTGAATGGTCATATTAACTATATTAGATGATCTAAAAATAATCGAAGGAATAAACATAAACTTACCTATTATAATCACGTTTTCCATGGGCCTTGTTGGGGTAGTGCTTGCTGATGTAGTGGTCGGCAATGGCAGGGCTAACAAAAAGAAATTAATATTCTTGTAAATAAGTCATTTATAGCTCTATTGGGGCATATACACACGGTAAATTTTAATACTGCCGTCTGCTTCTCCTAAAGAATTTTTGGCTACGCATTTGTAGATTCCAAAGTCTGAAGGCGAAACGTTAGATATATGCAACTTCATACGCTTTTTGAAGCTGTGTTCTTCTAAATCAACTTTGTATTTTCCATCTGGAAATATATGAAATAATAAATTTGAAACGACAATTAAATTTTCTTTATTTAAGTATTACAATTTCTAGGTTAAAAATTCGCTAATATATGTTACTGGAAGTGGTAAATAAGATTATTTAGGTAGGTGTTTATTGGTACCGCATAAAAATCATGAAGATTGATTATTGTTTTTAATACTTAATAAGTAGAAAGTTCAGATATGTACGGATCTGATATTTGTGGCAAAAAATACGAGTTAGAACGATAGGGGGTCGTAAAATAGGTTTCTATAGATACTAAGGGGATTGCAGCATGAGAAATGTTGAAGAATACTAATGTAGGGGTTCCTTTTTAACAACACTAATGTTAGATTTATAATTCCCTACTTTCAAAAGAGTGCAATAAGTTTTTTGTTTCCTTTTCTGAACAACTAAATAAAACTGTATTCATTCATTTAATTTCGGCGAGATATTCGTTTGAACGTTCATTAGAAAAGTTAAGCTTCATGAACATTCTGAATTGTAATTGAAAAGTTCTTTTGATTTGATGTCACCAAGCGAAATGTCTCGGTTTCACCGACTGAGTAGGAACTTTTCTAATTTCGATCTTCCACAATTTCATTTTACGTGTCGAGGATTCACGAAGTGCGATGACAGAATAATAAGCTAAAAGACAGAACTTAAAAAACTTATAACCAAAATGTTTCCACCTAATAGTGGACTAAAATGGGGAAAGAAAAAGCTACCCCATCTGTAAGGAAAAATTCATAGACCTAGCATCTTACACCAGTGTCTTAGTTGTCACAGCTGTTGAAATTGTGTAAGTTGTCCAAAAGAAGTCATCTTTTTTGCTTCAATTGTTTCCAGTTATCATTTGTATTTTCCTTTTGGGTAAATGAGGAAAAACAAATAGATGTTCTTAAAATAAAATAAAATAAATATGAGATAAACTTTCTTTTTCTTGGAAATAATGCGAGTTTTAAGTAAACAACTCTATTACCTAACATGTCACAGAGATGAATAATCTCGGTTACATTTTATTTAGGAAAAATGTCTAGGTATTTATATAATTAGAATTTTTTAAACTCCTAAGCGATTTAGAAAAAAAGGTTCAATTTAATAATTGGGGCACTATCTAAGTACATTAGAAATAAAAAAACATTCTGCTTATTAACAAAATGTGAATCAATAAAACGTTGATTACACAGGTCTGCGAATTTTCTTTTCTGAAAAGTTTTTTCTTAAATTGTTCATGTTTGTGGTAATTGTCTTAAAAGTAATAGAAAACGATATTCATGTGGTGTATACCACGTCACATTAACCCATAAATGCTCAGAGAACACATTTCCATTTGAACCCTTCCCACGTAATGAGTGCGACAAAATAATATTCGATAACCAGTGTTTCTATGTTTTTAACGATGCTCTTTTCGATGGTGTTAGTTAAAATTACCTCCAACAATATTAAAGCATGGAAAGATCGAAAATAAACAAAAAAACGTGATTTTTGAATTAACTTTTTTCTTAAAAATTAATTTTTTGTGTCCTTACGATTTTTTTATGTGCTTAAAACCTATGTAGATTATGACCTCGATATCCAAACATGAAATAATCACCGCTCGTCAAGTCGAAATGCCTTTACAAACTGTTTGATCAAACCGAGTTTAAAGTAATGTGGTGGAAGAAATACCTTTTCGGGATCTTTCCAACTCGTATTGATGACATTTTTCACTCCGACTTCCAATTGCATTCTAATTTGGACATAGAAATACCGAATAACAATTATTTTGATTTACCATGAGTCCATTGTCTTAACACTTCAACACATATTTTATCGTAACCCAGTGTTTATCTTGGTGACACAACTTCATTTTGAAGTAAGCTTAATAAGCATTTATTACAAAGTCTGTTATATTCAATTTTTGCTTAACTATTGTATATTGTCTGTAAATGTAAAAAAATACATTTGAATTGTTTTTACAATTCCCAGAAGCCATAGTTAAAGAAGAACAAAGTTTATATTTGCAAAATATAGATCACCATTTGCATGCTTAAGATAAATTTATATAAAAAACTTTTTTATCGCAGACCTGCGTCATGTTTGGTAGTAGGGTATTTACTGAAAACTGAGTGAAGTGAAGACATTGCAATGTATGAAATTGTATTTCTGTATAAGAAGCTTTTAACACTTCTAACCCTAACTTTCTTTAAAAGCAATTATCGGAAAACGATTTTACGACCTTACATCAAATATCCTGCAATCTACTTCCAATTTAAAATACGCTTTTCGTGCTTATGTTACCTTTCGAGATCAATTCAGTTTGAGTTTGAAAAGGCGGCAATACACCAAGGTGTAAACATTGAATTGATTCTTGCACAGTGAAAAACGTAAGAGTTTTCGTTTCATACTACCTCTTGTGCTTTTTATATTTTTGACTTGTGTTATTTTTTTTTTTATTATTGAATTTATGTTATTTATTTCTTTGCTCCAACTTCTTCCTATCCTGAGCGCATTTTCCGAAAACTACAGAACCTCCCTAAGTATTCGCGAATAGGAATCTATTATTATTTTCTCTGCCTCATTATACTCTTGTGTGCTTCTAATTTGTATCTAACTAACCTTTCATCCTTCTTAAGGCATCCCGTCTCTTCTTTCTTTTTATTGATTTTCATAGCGTCCCTTGTTCTCCTGTTCATTGTAATACTTCCTTATATAAACAGGTAAAATTTGTATGTAGGAGATAACATCCGAAACTGCTCATGGAATTTCAAAAATTCTTGCACTTATATTTAGAATGGACTTTCAAGATAAATGTAGAATATATATAATTCAGTTATTTGTATTATCTTTCCCAATGTTAAGTTAGAACTATTTCAATGAAAAGCGACTAAAAGAGGTAAAATGTTATTTATTTAATCCGTAGTTTTCAACCGAGATTTCGTCTTTTTGGTTGAAAATTTTATTATGGTAGATTGCTTAATTATTGTATTACAATAGACGGAGACATGGAGAACTTATTTGGTACAATCACCCGAATATTTAACAACAATAATAGATAGTAGTGATAAAACAATGAACAGACATCAATTATTTATTGAATAATATAATCAAAGTTTGTACATATCTACCCTTTGTAAATCGTGAATGTTGCGATGCGTTAAATGGGATTGTAATTAGAATATCTGCCGAACCGATTAATAGCCAATTAAATAATGTAACTGGTCTATGCATGATTGTTATATGCTACAATGTAAAGAAAATGTATTTTACGTTGCCTGGTTTAACAATGAATAAAATCGGTGTTCATGCATAAATAGCATGCCCACTTATTCTAATATTTAAATATCAGAAAAAGATAAAAAGTTCCTCAATCACAGTTGAAAATAAATTGTAAAATACATAATCAATAAGCTAACGGCTATAGCGACAGAATTTTGATAGTTTATCTAGCCAGTTTAGTTTTTTTAAGGGAAATCTTTAAAATAGAAACACATGAAACTGACTTTTCAATTTGACCTTTCTATGCATGGCGTCTGTTTTGTGAGGTGTAAGTTTTCCAACGTATACACTGATGGAGAATGTACAGACTATAGAATATCTAAATCCGTTAGTTCACCAGATTATAAGTCATTGTTTATTAACCATTGATTGTATGTCTAAGCAATTTTGCCTTAGTGTCATGTTGAACTAGATAATCTTTAGTGATAAATGATTCCTGTAAGCATGAGCTCAACGTCCATAATTCATCAACCGCGAACTTAATCAAAGACTACGGAGATTAGCTTGTTAGGGGAAGGTCGAAAAAAATTCTTCCTAGAGAATCCTTAGGGAAAACCACAAGGGAAATCGTTACGAAAATGTTCAACGTCGAATGCTTACTTTTCAGGAAACTAGCACTATTATTTTCTGAATTCCTATTGCTCCGTTTTCGTTTAAATAATCTATTTTTGACGATAAGTTTTGATATTTTCCATCTTTTTAGGATTGAATTATACCTCAGTTTCTACCACTTCGCTTCAGATAAACTAATGCAAGGGCGCGACTGAAAATATTTACTTTTATGACAATTATTACTCTATTTAAACATTTTGTAGTTTCGTTTTTCCTAATAAGGTCAACAAAACCTGTAATTTTATTTAGGTATAGATTGTGTCAATCATATGTGTGTGCGCGAGGTGTTTTTGTACGTGATGTCGGCGTGATTAGGATGGGATTGAATAAGGTTTATAGATTGAGAAAATTGTTAATAAAAAGTGAGAAGTCATTGGATGGAGGTAAAGACATCAATAGTCTGTCCACTCCATACTTTTTAAATCAATCCAATAAATTTCAGCAAGTCGATATCCATATTTTTAAATGGACCTTGTTGGAGCATACGTAATCCTAAAATGTAGCATCGTACTATAGATGGCGTTCACCACGCCATTATCGGTATTTTCTAAAACGCGCTATTAACACAGCAGGTAAAGGTTGGTCTGTATTCTGTCGGAGCTGCCTGCGACGCGCTGATGAGATCTAAAAGGATCAAAATCGCGATCCGCGTCTGGCAGTTTCGATAGAATACAGACCACTTCGAATTATTTTATTCAATCCAGTAAATAATTTGATTTACATACAGATATGTAATTAAAAGTATCATTAAGCAATTATTGCCTACATTAATTGTTTCATCACTCCTTTGTATTTTGAGACTATAATTGTGAAATATTCCACGCCGTGCTTTTATTACTTTAAATTTCGTGACTGCTTTCTTTAATAAATATAACAGAAAATTTTATGTTCTGATGAAAGTTAACAACACAAACCTGCGATTCTTAAGTCGAATAGTATCTACGATATATCCTGTGGACGTACTGTTCGTCCCTTTTTGTGAACTTTTATGGCAATTACTCGCCGGCATTCCGTTTTACGATACGAAGCCGAAGACGAACAAGGAACGTGCAGTAACTGCGAACGAACTGGTAGTTTTGTACAAAAAAAATAAGTGACATGGAGAGAAATTTTAAATTATGATAATAAAGATGCGCTGGAATTCTACAGGGGTCTGAAACAGTTTTTTTATTTGAAAGGACTTTTATACGTTGTAATTTCTTTACCAGTCACCCCTAGCAATTTTTTTTCTTTGCAGAGGAGGCTGACATAATTGATTTTACAAAATGGGAAAAGGTAAATTTGTTTTAGCATATCTGGATCACAAGAAAAACTGTAATATTAATTTGAAATCATTTTTTCGATTTTTTATTTACCCACTACAAACTACCTCAAATTAATGAGGGAAAAATTGTTACTGTTGTCACACCCCCGCCGGGAATCGAACCCGGGACCTTTGGCTTTACGCAGCAATGTTCTGACCACTAAACTACAGGTTCGATTCCCGGCGGGGGTGCGACAACAGCAACAATTTTTCCCTCATTAATTTGAGGTAGTTTGTAGTGGGTAAATAAAAAATCGAAAAAATTATTTCAAATTAATATTGCATATTAATCCACTATTAAGTAACTAAGAATGTCATAAGATTTCATGTATTTAAGAAAAACTGTATCATAAAAATAAACAGGGCTTTGATCCTTTCAGCCCTTAACGTTAAAGCTGGCGACTTTAGTCAGAATTAATAGCCTAATATTTAATTTCCCAAAAATTCAATCACTAACCTGATACTATTGTTATATCATCTTCTTTCGTCCAATAGTTCATGGACTTTGGAAATGCTTCAGAGCGACACTCGATTGATACCTTTTGTCCTTGATAGGCACCAACTAGTTGATTTGCTATTGATATCATTGGAGGGACTGAAACAAAAGAAAATGGTGTAATTTCATCCAGCGAGGCAGCTCGAAAACTGTTGAAAAAGAAAATCAAAGGTAACGCGACGTTAAACAATGGTATGAATTTTCAAATAGTTGAATTGTGTGGGTGGATTACAACAAATAAAATGTACGTATGGCAGGGTGTTGGCAAAGAGTTGGGGTATTACTCCTACAAAGAATATCAGTAACTGTGAATTATTGGAGAAATAAACGAAATCTAAACGTCAATGAAATTTTATATCTTAATATTTTAAGTAAAATTGATTGTTTAAAGGTTTTCAAATAATTTCAAACTATTTAATTTCAATTTCTGCTAAGTTTGTAAAATACTAAATCAAGCAAGTGTAATTTTCCGTAAGCAAACTTTTACATTCACGCTTTCCCGGTTTCTTCATGCCCTTATCTAAAAAAAAAACTTTTAAGTGTTTCATTCCCACCAGCCAGTAATGCTGGTGGGCGGGCAGTCCCACCGGACTACGTCGGAAGGTAGAGCGGAAGGCCCTCTTCAGCCTGCTTTCAGGAATCGTGGGAATGGCTGGGTGGTGGTTCGGGTGAAATGAAGACAGAAGAGAATGAAAGATTATCTGTGGAAAATTACTGCCCCAGCATTTGCCTAAGTGATCCAAGGAAACCACAGAAAAACTTGGACCAAGGCAGACGGACCCGGAATCGAACCGGCGTCCTCCCGAATGCTAAGCAATGGTCTAAACCTCTAGGCCATGCCGCTCGGTGCCCTTATTTAGACGCTGCTTGTTCAAGTGTGCAAAAAACTGTCACCCAATCTCTAAAAGTGCTCATATACAAGAACTAATGTGCAGGATGCAGTAATGTTTTATGAAAATGCATGGATATAGCCTGATGGTTAATCTGAATACATGTTTTTTAAAGAAAGATGTCTTGACCGACTGACCTACTAGTAATGGAAGTAATTTCAATAAAAAATACCCTTTCTTACTGGATTGAAGTAAATATTTTGCGGAACGAGTCTCGGGATTTCTCAATTCTTCCCTTTCAACCGAGTTACTCTGTACTTTGGGTTACATTGAAATTACTAATTTTCACATCACAACGCGGCGCTCCACGTGGGAGAAAATGTACATATTATATTACATAATAAAAGGAAAATAAAGTGCAGCAGTTCATGAAGTTGTCGTGGAATGAGATTATTTTGTTCGTAATCTCGTTTCCAGCGGATTGTAGTAGTAGCGGATGCATTAAGATATTTGGTTTTGGAATAAACAGATAACAAAGGGCGAACCTGCAAACACTCGACTACTAATTTCGTGAGAGTGAGAGATAATGAAAACAACAACTTAGTACACGATATGGGGTGGCATTATCCGTGGTATTATCCAGCCATTGAAATAAATTTAGATGTTTCTGCTAGCGAATTACAGCCAGTGGCGGCGTAAACATAACATAACGTTATAATGAACGACTTAATTGCAAGGTAGTTACCTAAAGAGCAAAATTTGCACCATTATTTATTAATTACAAATTTTAAGCAAGATATTAGTTGCCTTAGTTATCCCTAGTCAAGTAACGAAGCCGGTAGGGTCAGCTACGCCATTCAGTTACTTCAGATTGTCGTGATTTCAAGATATTTTAACATTTAAATCCATTTTTGGCCTTCTTGCAAGCGCTTAGTACTACTTGCAATTATAGTCTAAAATAACCGAGGAAGCAGTTAAGCGTTAAAATTGCCTTGAATTGACATTGAATTTTAGTAACCTCAAAATTAAACAAACTGAATGTTGCACAAGACCCAGAATCATAGTACACGTCTGAGGAGCGGGCGCATTTCGCAGGATAACAGCATAGGTGGCTATTCTTCGTTTACAATCTGTAGCGATATGACCTTCAGTTTGGCCAGCGCAAAGGAGAAAAGAACAGCACTAAGCCAGAAAAGAAAGGAGACAACTCTCGGCCAAACTCTTAACCGGTGAGGAGCGTATAATCCGTTAGTCCTGCACGGAAAAATTGACCATTTTATCCACTAAAATTGCATTGTTCAAATGTGCTGTTACTGGTAGCATTTACTACTGAAAATATCAACGAGATGTTTATTTATATTTGAAGACATATTAAAGGCTTTAATGCTTGTTTTCGACTCGCACTACTATTCATGATTGAACAAAACTTTTGGTAGGTACTGTATGAAAAAGTATGTTTAATGAACAAGAGTCGAGAGTACAATGAGCTTTTTCTCCCTACCTACGATTTTACCAGCGCTCATCCAAGACATTTCAAAATGCACATTGCTAGAGAAAGTAAATGAAGTATAGTGTGAAGCATATTGTTATTATTTAGAAAATGTTTTATCATTTTAAGGAAAATCGAACAGTTTTAATAACAATAAGTACTTACAAAGTTGTATTTTTATAACGTATGTTTATATAATACATCAAAAGAAGTAGTTTGAAAATTTGAAATTGATTTCACTTCTAAGAAAAGCTCTGTAAAATAGGATTCTTGATCTAATACCACCTCATTTCTTACATAAAGTTACGTATATCAAATCGATTTTTTGCTTGCCAGTCTTCTTTTTACCGGCTTCTCGTTCAATTTTGAAAAGTAAATTAGAATTAGCTCATGCTTCCCTGACTCCATTTGGAAGGAAAGTAAGCCCTGAAGCGTAAACATGCAAGTTTATACAATAAACGGATTCTTACAATGAACATCGAGCATTATCCTCTTGCTAACAGATGGGGGAACCCCATTAGATGCAATGCATAAGTACGGTCCCATTTGAAGTCGATTCACTTTGACCATTTCGAACTCGCTACCCTCAATTTTGAGAACTGAAACAATAATTAAAATCAGATGGAAAAATCGATTACCTCAGAAAAACAATTTATGCTTATGAGTTTTATTTTTATTTGTGCTGGAACAGATAGTAGAAGTGAAACTTCAAAGGACAAGTGGAAAAACGAATGGCAACGGACAAGTGGAAAAACGAATCGCAATAAAATTTTTACTTGAAGTTTTGCAGGAAGGTTTTCAAATTGGACAAGTACATTAACAATCTGCCCGTAAAACTTGAAGAAAACATTTTGTTGCGATTTGTTTTTCCACTTGCCCGTTGCCATTTGCTTTTCCACTTGTCCTTTGAAGTTTTCCTTCTACTATGTGTTCCAGCACATATTTCGTTTTCACAGGTTTTCTGCAAATTACGATTTGGTTTTACACAGACCGTAAATAGAGGCAATGATGCCCAGCCACGTGGAGAGCAGAGATACGAAAACAACAGCTGAGCACAGCACACGCCGCCGGGACCCTAGCGGACTCTCCGCTCTCCACGCGGCTGCGTATTATATCCATCTAATACAGCCGTTGTCCTCTCACCGCCGCCGCCAGCCTTTCTCTTCCTCCGGCGTTGCCGCCTCTCACCACGCGATATACCGTCTACCCCCTCCACGTGGCCGTGACGCTTTTTCGTGAGAAAAAATTGGTAATACCTCTCGTCTATATAGAAATTTTACTTCAAAAGACTGTGATATTTTTATGTCGGTTTTTGGTGTTCTATTTTGAGCATTATCAGACTTTGTTATTGTCATACCATAATATGCGAAATTGCGGATCTTAGTATTGAATTATAATACATCTTACTTCATAAACAGCAAACGCTTACCGATTGGTTGTTAGAAGTTGTGCGAAGGTACGGACATACGTACCAACCCATATGTCAATGAAGCGGCATTTCGCATGGTGTATACATTGCGGTTTCAAGATCTACTCTTTTGCATGCGGTATAGTTACCCATTATAGAGAGAAACAAGTAGCTATTGAAACTTTAAAAACCTGAATTATGTATCCCTTCTGAGAAAAGTGCTTTCTTCTAATCGATTTTATTTGATAGAAACATATTTCCGTAATGGGTTAAGTTAAATTAAGTAGCAGTATCTCGTCGATCAGACGTAGGTACTTCTCGTAAGTGCGCGTCAATTTTTCAAGGAATATAAAAGGAGTGTAAGGTAAACGATAGTTTAATCGTTAGCTTATGCTTTCAGAGGGTTTAAAGTTGCATGAAAGCTTCGACGTAAAACTTGTCGAGGTACCAATTTTTTATGATCTGACTGCCACCGTCCTTCGTAACATACGTTATTTATTTACAACCCGTTGCTTTGTGTGTGCGCTATGACTTGCAGTAGGTGTGTGACAAATCTGTCACACGTCCATTTGCCTAATTAACCTAATGCATTATAATTTACTAAGTGAATTACACAGTTCATTGCTCAGTAGTAGTAGTTTATGCAAAAACTTCGGAGTCGTGGTTTATGAAAGCATTATTAAGCCTGTTAGAAAACTTTAGGAAATGAATAATAAAGCCTGGACTCAACTTTTTGGGCGGCAATCCTTTAAATTTCTATTTTTCAATGTAGATATCGAAGATGTGATTAATATTAACCATGAAAATAGCGTGGATATATTTAAGAAGGTAAGGAGAATGGAAAGGAGAGGCAGAAGAGATACGAAGGACGTACTAAAAGCAGAATCAGGAGTCAGGAGGGGTTAACCTAGATACATTCCTGTTCATAACCCTAGACAAAAATTTCCAGTCTCTCTCCAGTCTCTCAGAGTCTTTCAGCGTCTCTGAGAGCGTCTCTCACAGTCTTTTACAGTCTCTCAGTTATTGCCTAGGTGTTTTTATGGATCTCTCACAGTCTCTGTATGAGAGACTCGAACGATAAAATTGTTAATTCAAAGATTCGAGTCTCTCACAGAGAGATTGAATAAATAAAACTGAGAAATTGAGAGACTCGAGTCTCTCGTAGACAGACTGGAATCTCTGAAATATGTTGAACTTAAAAATTGTAACCACGTCTATCGAGACACCACTTATTGAGAGATTCGAGTCTCTCGTTCAGAAATTCGAGTCTCTCGTTCAGAGACGGGATACGAAATGAGGATCTCTCTATGAACGACTCGAGTCTCTCGTTCAGAGACGCTAAACAGTTTTCGTGACAGTCTCTCGACAGTCTCTCTCAGCGACACCAGAGAGACTCTATGAGAGACGGAGACTCGAGTCTCGCTTTCAGAAACTCTGAGAGACTGAACATTTTTATCTCGGAAATGATATACAATAAGTAAATACATGTAAATTGTAATATGTACATGTAATATTCTTAAAGTGTTGAGAGCACCTACGCCAAGATTCGATCTCACATTATTTATGTTTTTGTCGGTGGCTCCTTCTTTTGACGTTGCTGAATTGACTTTTATAGATAAGTAAATGTTTTGCCTTAAAAGGTAAAAGTTCCGTAGTCATGTCGTATATAATAAGAAAAATCATATCAGGGTTGAAATGTCCTCAAGCTGATATGACCCAGTTTCGTAGCCAATATCTAGTTTTCTGAATCCTTATTGATCCCTACATGTTTATTTTCAAAAATTTGCTTCACAAAATCGGCACTGGGTTTAAAATGAATTCATAAATCCTAGATGCTTTTCAAAAAAAAATTTTTCAGGCTGCACCTAGTCGTACTTATTGTATGATACAATTATGCAGTATTGATTTTACAGTTTTGATATTATCAAGTTATTACTATGACAAAATACTATTTATTATGTCTATGTAGTTGTTTGAAAAGCGCGCTGTTAGATGACAGCATGGGTCTTACAGTATATAAAATTATTTATAACGTGCTATTATCGATAAAGAATAAAGACAGCGGGTTTTAGAAGGCACAGGGATAATAAATGTGCTCGCTATAAGACTTAAACAAAAGTATCTGTTAGATGGCAGCATCCGCTCTATAAAAGTTACAAAATTGTCTGAGAAGCCCATTACAATCATAACTTAATTACGCATAAAGAGAGAGAGGAAGTATTTGAACAGCAAAGGATAGAAATAGCTTTAATAGATAATAAGGATACGTAATAAATCGACGATTTTCAGCAGTAACAACGTAAACGTGTATGAACTGTGTGATGTTCTGAATAAATGTAATGGTATTTATATACATATATATCTGATGAGCTTAACATTTGGTGAAAAATGTTTTAAAAATTATTTAATGCAACTAAGTTTGTAATATGACTCATCGAAAATTGCTAAAAACAAAGTTTTAAGTAATCCGAAAGGTGTTAGGTGCACCCTCAGTAAGGATCGTCGAATTCCAGAATACTGAGCAATTATTAGGAACCAGGATTCCCACAAACGTTGCCTGTTAGGTACCTGATGAGCATCAACATAATAAAGGTAGGGTTTTAACTGATTCTTACTTTTAATCATTTAATTATAGGATAGAAGAGGATTTTTGATTATTGATCTAATTAATATATATTTATTAAAAAGATGTTTAATAAATTATTTCAATTGAGTTTTAGTTTCGAAAATTGATGTTCACATGAAGATGAGGTTTTTTTTTATTACGTTTCACTATAATTTATGTGAGCGATATAATTTTCATCTTGTGAAGAAAGTAGTGTTATCACGTACCTACACGGAGAAAATGAGAAAGGAAAATTTACTTAAATATTAAAACGATATTTACTGTTTATCCCACTAGCCAAATTACAATTTGGACCCGAATTTGTAAAAATACTAGGTATTTTAGTTGATATTACAAATTTAATTGTAATAATTAAGAAACTTGAAATAATTTTCTAAATAAACATGTTAAAATTCAGATTATTACAAGTTACCTAATAAATTCTATTATTTCTACGGCAAATTCACTCATCTACAATCGAAATTTGTAATTTTTGCGTTGTCATAAAAATTTAGTTTTCTCCGTGTATGTACTTTATCTACACCTAATACGGCTTTTGACTTTTTGTTCTACCTACACTGTTTTCATTTACAAATCCATTGCGTTCAATCGTATCTTAGAGACCATTATTTTCCGGTTTGTCAGTTAAAAGTAAAACCCGTCAGAAGCACTGTGTCAGCTAAACCGAAATATACGATTTTTTACACAAGGGAATATTTAAAAGAGCTTTTAGAGGCAGGCAAAATAAAATCTGTATCACAGCTTCTTTTGTGAGAAAATATTTAACAATATTACTAAACATGAAATACACATTGCCTCGAAAGTTATTTGTTATTGTCTTTTTTTTACGTATTTTATATCGACAGGCAATTTATCAGAAATTTATGTTTTACTTATCGTTGGATTCGTAAAATTCGTAGGGAGAAGACTTCATGTTACTTCTTAAGTCGAATAATATATTTTTGATAATAAATTCATGTACTAAACTAACAAACCTAACCTCCCTGAAAAAAACTCAAAAATAAAAGCTTTGATTTGATACCAATATTGCAGTATTAATTATCAAGACTCGCTAATTAGGTAATCTTATTTTAAACACAGTTATTATCCCGAGATAAAAATGATTAGCCACTCAGAGTCTTTGTAAGTGCGACTCGAGTCTCCGACTCTCTCTGGTGTCGCTGAGAGAGACTGCCCGAATCTTCATTGTACTGTGATTCCGGCCGTGAAAGCCTTTGTTCTCATACTGTCAAAAAAACTGTTTAGCGTCTCTGAACGAGAGACTCGAGGCGATCATAGAGAGATCCTCATTTTGTATCCAGTCCCTGAACGAGTGACTCGAATCTCTGAACGAGAGACTCGAATCTCTCAATAAGTGGTGTCTCGATAGACGTGGTTACAATTTTTAAGTTCAACATATTTCATAGATTCCAGTCTTTCTACGAGAGACTCGAGTCTCTCAATTTTTCAGTTTTATTTATTCAATCTCTCTGTGAGAGACACGATTCTCTGAATTAACAATTTTATCGTTCGAGTCTCTCATACAGAGACTGTGAGAGATCCATAAAAACATCTAGGTAATAACTGAGAGACTGTGAAAGACTGTGAGAGACGCTCTCAGAGACGCTGAAAGACTCTGAGAGACTGGAGACAGACTGAAAATTTTGTCTAGGGATACGAATAGTGTTGATACAAAAATAAATAATTTAGTCGCAAAAGGCGCTTCGAAACAACAAATTTTGTTATCATCTTCAGGGATTTAATTACTTTTGCTTAGCTGTATTAGTACCTACATGTAGTAGAGACATAACACTATATAGCCAAGGATTTATATTATATTTGAATGTTTCCATTCATAGACGCTACGAAATGAGTCCGATTCAGCGAATGATTTGGCAATACGGTTATCGGCAAATCTTAACGAGATTTCTAAATAACGTCTGGTGCGATTCTAAGACGTTAACACCTCACGTTAACCCCAAACGATAAGGCTTGATGGGGGCGGAAATAAAATTGACGCAGAAAGAAGGCGGACTTTGAAGATTTCGAAAAGAAGAAAGTAATAAACCAATACTTTCAATGTAGGTGTGCTTGCAGCTATTTAAAAAAGAAAAAATGCGAAGGGTTTTTAATTGGATAGGATTAAATGATGATAAGAAGTGATTAATATAATTACCTAAATATTTTTTTTGTCATTTCTTAAATTTTTAATGAAATTATGTTCTTTAAAATAGATAGGAACAATACCTTTTAAGTTTTAAGAATGTATTTACCGTTAATTTCATATAAAATTTTCTAATTTGACCTTTTTATAGGTTATGTTGAACATGATCTCTCCATTTTGATGGTTTCTTTTAGCTTGTCTTTCTATTGCCGCCGTTTCGGGTACAGGTTTACCAAAATTTAACTATAGATAATACGCTCCCCAAGGGATTTTGCATATGTGTAAAAATAGATTTAAATATTTAGCTTTCTAATTATAGATGGAGCTATCTTCGATAGGTACGACGTCAATTCCTATAAGATGACATGGGTTCACATAAACTGAATATATAATGACCTCTTGTTAATTAGATGAATGTATAATTCACCCATTCGATTATCTAGCAGGTACATACGTGAATGGATATGAACTGGTTGGCACACTGACCAGAAATCTCATCACTGGAAGGAAGCCACGATTTACATGGGGTAAAGGGTAAACTAATCAACGTAACACGTGTTCGGACTCCTTTTATGCTCCACTTCCGGCCGGTGGGGATAGACATGGCGGTGAATAACGCAAACCGTCATGTTTGCTAAATCGACCATTTCATTTGATTTCAGCACCGATGGTTTTCATATCGTCAGCAATACGTTGTTATTAGGGGTTGTTCATAAAATACATTAGCAAAAAAGGCAAAAATTATTCAATACGATATAAAGTTATTCTCATTGCTATTTTAATCACAAAAAATCGTTTATAGGGGTGGGAGTAGCTTTTGTGACGTAATATTTGTCAGGGGGGTCGCTAAAAGTGTGACTTAGTCTGACGAAAGGGGAAGGGGGGGTCCAAAAAGGTTATATTCTGAGTGAATTTGCTATAATAAAATAAACAGTAATATTTTCTTTAGCCACCAAGTTTTGAGTTGAAGCATTAATAAATTTGAGTTTCCTTTTATAATTTTAGACTCCCGTGTTTGTAGTGGGAAAATAAAACTAGACATTGAAATAATTACAACTTGAAGAGAGAGAGATTCGGATCGAACTGCCTAAATCATGAAAAAAAAAGTCTTCAGAAAAAACGTGAAGGAGGAACTAATAGTTGGTTGAAGAAAGTAGGGTACTAATAGGGTAGTAATGAGATTGGAAAGTTTCGAAGTTAAGAAATACCTACTGAGGAACAGAATGTAGTCCAAAATCACCGAAGAAAACCCATCGTAAAATTATAATTAAGAAAAATTACTGAGAAGAAGTCACAAAGTTTTCGCATTTTAAGCAAGGTGTACTGAAAATACCAGATGCGTCCTAGATTTTATTTACATTGATTTTCATTAGTGAGTATTAAATGCAACTCATCAAAATTTATCGATTATTGATTATGAATTTATTTCCTAGTGATAACTGTGAACCCAGATCGATCGTTACATCCGATGCTAAACGATTTTATTTTTTATGAGATAGATTTCATATACAATACTTAAATTATTATTCTTACTATTATTTTTGTACTCCATATCATAATAGCACATAAATAACACTCCAGTATTTTCGATCTACATATAATTCGTAAACTAAATGACAAAGTAACAAAGTAGATTCAATTTTAGTTTGTTTTTCAATAGAAATGTTAAATGAAAACAACCATCTGTACATCTGATCGTATTGTTCACACTTGCACACAACCAGAACAATAAAGTAGAACATCATAGTGTGCAGGAACGAATAGAGAGAGTACCCATAGGGATTTTCCCTGGTTTAAAATCATAAATCATGGAAACAAAATATTGAAGTTGTATGAAAAGCATAACACATGCTGATATCACACGAAACCGTTCACCCATTGGACGCAGCGAGTGCTTTGTTTTTTGTTTAGCTGCCTTCATGGCCTGCCGCGATGCTTTTCTCTAATAAAAAAAATAAAGAATACAAAGGCTTTTAAAGCTTCGGAAACCCGGAACAATGCCATTTTTAAGACCTAGATTATTCTTCCATGTATTCCAGTAGAACGCCTAATGAATCTGCAGCGTGACAAAATCACCTTTTATACTTTTATTTGTTTTAAAATTCTCACATAATTTAATTTCTTTTAAATCTAAATAATTGTTGAAGAGCATTACAAATTGGTTTCCTCTATTGTGTTTAATAATTCCTGTTAAAAAATAGTAGTTAACTGACATACCTTCGTTTCCATTCCCCAATGATATGGGTTCACCCCCTTCCCTCCTCCATGTTATTGCAGGATCCGGGGATCCCCTTGCTGCACATTTGAAAGTAATATTTGAACCTTCATGTACCGTAAGATCGGCGCTTGTGGGAGAATCGAGAATGTCAGGAGGAACTAGAAAGAAAACAATAAAATAATGAACCATTAAAACAATCGAACAATACATAAAACAACGAAACATTGAAATAATGAAATCTGAGGTGACCTGATTAGTTTTCTCATTACAAATGTTTGGTTAGAATGATTGAATTTAACTTACCAACGACATCCAAGAACCCAACTTGACTCTTCATAGGATCTGTGTTTATTTGACACATGTACCATCCCCTGTCTGACTCCTTTACGTTTCGGATATGCAAGTACCACGTCTTTTGTTCACTATGCGTTACACCTATTCTATTATTTTTCGTTATAACGTGCACATGGATTGTTAGGATCGTTTGTGTGTCGACACGTAACCATGCCACCTGGAAATTATATTTTAACAATATACTATCTGTTTTTCCTAAAAATTGGATTGTTTTCTCTTGTAAATAATATAAAATACTTACTTTGTAAATAGAAAGGTTATCCACGGAGCATTTGAGCATTGCGTCTCTTCCTACAGGAACTGTTACATTTGATATTGGACCATTAAATCGGGGACCGCCTGCAATAAAAAGTATTATCTTAACAATAAAATAGTACATAATTAGAATATATCTGCTAGATTAGGCGAGTCCACACCGACGCGAGACCGAGTGCTAATTATATTTTTCCATCATAGTTAGTTTTTTTACCAAAAATGAGATGCAATCTTTTGAATTACCTATATTTATAACTTATCTACAAAATCATTTTCTTTATTGTATTTTCGCTTATACAAAACTTTTATAAACAACAACCGATAAATCAGTTGGTTCGTCTTTCTCAGTTACTTTATAAATAACGAGAACGGAAACTGTGGTTGTACCTACAGGAATGATTAAAGGCATAAAGGAATGAATGAGGGGACTGGAAGGAAGCAGGACTTAGTTACCGAAATTACTATTTCATTTCGAAGTTAGATACAAAATACGTTCCTTGGTGGACGGAAGTAATCACGTAATCACCTCTGAAATTGATCCTGTCAGTTTTCCTTGAGGGAGATAAGGGTGAGAGAAGTGGATATAGTTGGGACGATCAAAATTGGCATACTTAGTCCTCAATAAGTTATCTGTGAGAATGGACGTATCTTCTTTCTTGTTTCCACTTGGGACTGTAGCTCTTCTCAACTCAGGAAATGCTTCATGAGTAGTGCAGACAAAGTGAAAAGGGATATACTTCGTTTACTCTAGCGATGTGCCCCTTCCAATGTCTTGGATGCGCGCTGGCAAAATCGTAGGTCATTATACTCTCGTCTCTTGTTCATTAAACATACTTTTTCATACAGTACCTGCCAAAAGTTTTATTCAATCATGAATAGTAGTGCGAGTCGAAAACAAGCATTAAAGTCTTTAATATGTCTTCAAATAAAAATAAACATCTCGTTGATATTTTCAGTAGTAAATGGTACCAATAACAGCACATTTGAGCAATGCAATTGTAGTGGATAAAATGGTCAATTTTTTCGTGCAGTACTGTACGCATTATACGCTCCTCACCAGTTAAGAGTTTGGCCGAGAGTTGTCTCCTTTCTTTTCTGGCCTAGTGCTATTCTTTTCTATTTTGCGCCCGTCAGACTGAAGATCATATCGCTAGAGAAACTAAACGAAGTATAGCTGAATAATAGTAAGCGGTAAAGCGACTATAGGTTGCTTAGGTTCACAAAAGATCAGCCAACTGCCTGGTTGGAATTATATGTTTAAACAAGCGTTTTTGCTTTCAACTGAATCAAGGTAAAAGGTGTTTGGGTGTTTCATTCCCACCAGCCACTAATGCTGGTGGGCGGGTAGCCCCTCCGAACTATGCCAGAAGGTAGGACGGAAGGCCCTCTTCAGCCTTTTTTCAGGAATTGTGGGAATGGGTAGGTGAGAGGAAGAGAATGAAAGATTATCTGTGGAATATTACTGCCCCACCATTCGCCTAAGTGATTGAAGGAAACCACAGGAAGAAAATACAACATCAGTTCACCTACTGGCCGCGAAAGCCTATAGGTACTAATATTTCTTGGTAGTGTTAGATTGTCTCTGAATTATTCGTGCCGAACTCTGAAACCGTTATTACGTGAATATGCGAACAACTACGTAACAAATTGTTGTAAACCACTCTAACAAAGTAGGAGCTTCGAAGTAAAATAATGAAAGCAAACAGGATAAACTATTTTTCAGCTAACGTACATGTACGTGCAGATAATAATATGCATGTATTTTACAAACAGCAGCTTGAACATCGAAATTTAATTAGTGTTAATATTATCAAAATATTGTTATGGCAATTTGTAACAGCGCCATCTGTATAAAGACCTCTGTACTAGTTACTTTGCAATAAAAGCTGTAACAGCCACGCGCTCAGCCTCACTCTAGAACACAAAAATACGTGTTTCATTTCAATTAGTTTACTAATTGGTTCATTAAAACAGTTGAGTTAACTAGCTCCTGCATGAAGATACGCGAAATTTTATAAGCGTAGAAACTATTTTATCAAATATAACAGCAGCTCACTACTATTAGTAGGTATGTGGTAGAAGTACTATTAATTTGAAATCATTTTTTCGATTTTTTATTTACTCACTACAAACTACAATTACAATTAATGAGGGAAAAATTGTTTTTGTTGTCACACCCCTGCCGGGAGTCGAACCCGGGACCTTTGGCTTTACGCACCAATGTTCTGACCACTAAACTACGAGAGGTGACAACAGCAACCAGAACATTGGTGCGTAAAGCCAAAGGTCCCGGGTTCGATTCCCGGCGGGGGTGTGACAACAGCAACAATTTTTTCTTCATTAATTTGAGGTAGTTTGTAGAGGGTAAATAAAAAATCGAAAAAATGATCTTAAATTAATATTGCATATTAATCCACTATTAAGTAACTAACAAAGTAATAGGATGTGGAAGGAGGTACGAACATATTGAACCGCCCCTACCTTCAACCCTAAATAACTATAGATGAATGTGGAGTTCGCAGGTTTGTCTTTTCTGCAACCTGGAAATTATGTTTTCGGGCTTGTCATAATATAATTAGCTTGATTATTATCGAAAACTAGAACTGTCGAGCACTATATGTACAAATGAGAACTACGTAAAATCGTCGAGTTTCATTAATCATCGAATATCTACTATTTGGCTCCAACAATATTGTCAAGTACTTAATGTAGGTACCACTGCGAACTAGACGAACTATTGAGAACTACAAAGAATCGTCAGGTAGGCATTAAAGGTTCGTTGAGTCCCAAAAATCATCGAGTATCTGCTATTTGGTTCTAGTCATAGTAGAGTACTGGAGGCCCTATTGACAACAAGAACTGTCGAGCAGGAGATGTAATACTGATGGGCATTACGTAGAATTAACGATTTTTAGAGATGTTATTGGTTTCTAAGGATCGTTGAATACTGAAGGCCACTGGAAACAGTCGAGTGTTGGTTGGTTCCAATAATGATTTGAGCAGTAGAGGTATTAAGGAGAAATACGTCGAGTCATGGAATATGGAGATGCTTTGAGTTCCAAAAATGTTAGAGTTGATTGATTAAGACACTACTGCGAATAACAGTCGAGTATTAAACATACATTCTACAAATTAATGAGAACTATTGAGTTCTAAGAATACTTGAATTGGTAAAGAATACTCGTATGCACGTGACCTACGTAGCTGTCATTTAAGGAGAGTAGTAACAATATAAATTCGAGTGACTCTTTTTCTATGATGCTGTAAATTCTTGTCGTGAGTTTGCGGCCAGGAAGTCGAAGAGTTATTGCCAGTATACGCGATAAGCTAACATATTGCAGAGTTCTAAATGTAATTTCCGGCTTAAGTGTAAAGTAGCCGTTCTCACAATTGTCCATAATTTTTGGCTTCACTTGGAGCATTCTTCCGGATCTGTGCTCCTATTAATCACTATAAGTAGCAGGTTAAATCTTCGGCTCACGAACTCCATCTTTTCCACCAACCAGCGTCTTTATCCAATTGCGCCTTGTGTGCGCTTTCAATTAAATTTTCCAACGGACCTCTTCTTAGGCTTCTTTTTCATCCGTTACCACGAGCACCGTCAAGACGTAATCTTTTTAAAATATCTCTTCGACGAATTTCCTTCCTCATCCGAACTTATTCAGCATTAATTTACCTAAAGGCTCGAACCTGTAATAATTGTGAAATTAAACCGAATAAAACCGAGATTGGATTTATCTTGGTCCAGTGACGTCAAACATTCGCCATGCTTTCTTTCGGCTTTCCTATCAACTGCAGCTTCATACAAAACGAAAGCAAAAATTCTACGTTTTCTACAGCGGTAATGGAAATGGAGTAATTAAGGCCATTAGTGAAGCGGCACATTTCTATAATTTTAATGTTCTTTTAAACATTATTTTAGAGAACTATCTCTTTGACCAATATAAAATAAACCACGAAGGTATTACTGATATTTTTATCTTGGAGCGCCTTTTGTTTTTTCATTTATCTTTGGCGGATTTTCTCCAGAGGGTCATAACTGGTGACGAATTATGGGTTTATGGTTATGACGTGGAAACCAAAGTTGAGTCATCCCAATGGAAGCTGCCGCACGAGCCAAAACCAAAAAAAGCGCGTCTAATGTAAAGGTTTTGTTCACAGTTTTCTTCAATTGCAGGAGGGTGGTGCATCATGACTTCTTGCCACAGGGTAGAAAGGTCAATAAGGAATATTACCTGCAAGTTATACGCAATTTGCGTGAAGCAATCCGTTAGAAACGCCCGGATTTGTGGAAGAACAAAAATTGGCTTTTGCACCATGATAACGCCCTAGCTCACACATCGTTGCTTGTGCGCGAACTTTTAGCCAAAAACAACACAATAATAATGCCGCAGCCACCGTATATCTCAGCCCTCACCCCCCTGTGACTTTTTCTTGTTCCTAAAAATGAAAAGGCCCATGGAAGGACAACGCTACGCTACGATTGAGGAGATGAAGACGGTATCGAAGGAGGAGCTCAACAAGACCACAAATGTTGACACAAGTACTTATATGATATCATGTGAGGATTACTTTGAAGAGGACAAAATAGATAAATTAATGAATAAATAAATCATTTTTAAAAAAACGCAAAATTCGCGATGCTTTTTGAACAGACTTCGTATCTTTCGTAGTTGGCATGATAGGATCAGAAGTTTAGATGAGCCTTAACAGATATTAATTATTAAGTCTATAGTTATGTCGTTAAATGTAATAGAAACCTCAACGTGTAATGTTATTATTTGTACTTGGATGATTTTATCCGAGATTAACGCAAATGGTTGAGGATTTTGTCGGTTAATAAATGTCTGACACAGGGCTGCCTTATACATTTCAACTTCATTACAGTGTACAGATTGCTGTCTTGACCAGTAATTTAATTATTAAATCCTCAAGCGACTGACCATCGGGCTGCTTCTAACTCTAATAATAGGCAAACCTGACATGTGGCGAGACTACCTAACAGCTTTGTATTAACCTGAAACGGGAAGACCGCAGGACCGGGTAGGTACTGTACTGATCGTGAGTCTAAGGAGGTGATGATT